TAGAAATCTTTATATAAAAATCTTTATATAAAAATCTTTATATAAAAATCTTTATATAGTTTGCATAACAATGGTCTTTTGTTAAAGTGTTCTTTAGCGGGTATAAAGACGTATGCACATGACTAATTTCTTACTCAAGATTGGATAATTGCTTCATGAATTATTAATGAGTTTTTGAAGTGTATACACTATATAATAGTATACTCTACCGGTAGACTGATGACAGCATCATTATTTAATGTTGACGACGTTTCCTTGGCGTTGTTAGTTCGTGAGGATTTAACATTCCATACGATATCTAACCATTTTGCATCTTTTCTTTTGAAAAATGCCTGAAAAAACAATTAGAATTGTTTACAGTACAATTATAGCCTGCTCAGCAGCCTGCAGCCCCACTCGAATATTTGAAACGGAAAATTAGGGTTTCCTTAAGGCCCTGTCACACCATTGCGTATGAGAGAAACGTATGAGGATCTATGAGAAGCATATGAAAATTAATGAAATAATTTCATACGCACAAAATCCTTTGAAATGTCAGCGTTTGAGTACCGTACATCTGGCGTGTCTCTAGCGTATTCAGAGTGTGCCTAGAGTGTGCTTATCGTATAAACCATACGTCCGAATACGCACAAAGCTTAAAAAAAATTTCTGCCTCGTCAAAGCAAACTTCCTGACAGCTTGTCTATAAATTTGGGAATGTTTCTTCTGAAATCTTGGCTGGATCGATAGGAGTTTGCTTCTGTTAAAAGAAATTTTTACCTCATTTTATATTGTTTTGCTAAAAAGTACTGCTCGAGTGATGAAGAATGGTGTTTACAGTTTTTTCATATCTCATCTCATTCTCAAGTTATCGCACTTTCTATATTTCGAGATGTGACGTCACAAGTTTGACTTGAGATAATGGCAATAACAAGAAAGTCTGATATCTTAGTGATAATTTAATAAAACCCACGTGAATATTTTGAATGAATGAATGAATGAATGAATATATTTTTTGCCACATATATATCAATTTACATCACTTAGCAAGACATACACATATGGTACACATCACACAATTTAATTAACCTACTAAACATAATAATAAAACATTACGAACTAATTGTGGCGAGGACGTCCAAAGTGAAACCACGAGGCTTATAAATTTGGACTACCTCAATAGCGCATGTATATCATCATTTAAAAAAAATAGTGATTACGTATGACATATAAATAAGACATTTATATATAAAAAGAGAAGAAAAATCGTTTTACTTATCCTGAAATTTATATATGCATGAAGAATTGCAAATATCAGAAGGCAATGTGTTGTAGAATTTTGGACCCTGATAGTTAACCGAAAACAAACGTATATTTGTCCTGCAATAAGGAACGTAGAGAGTATCAACTTTACGTGTTGCATAATTATGAATTTTGTTAACTTCCAAAAATGAATTTTCAAAACATCGTGGAAGACACTCATGCTGGTATTTAAAAATTAATTTTCCTAACTCAAAGAAATAAATATCTTCAAATTTAAGCAATTTGTATTTACAAAAAATAGGTGTAGTATGTACACCAAACCCTTGTTTATCAACTATTCGCACCACTCGTTTTTGCAAAACGACAAGACGTTTAGTATTGCTAGCATACGTAGAACCCCAAACTGTGATACAATACTGAAGATAAGGATATACCAGTGCAAAATATAACATTCGCAGTGCTGATTTGAATAAATAGAAACTCGATCTATAAATAATGCTAATTGATTTGGAGATTTTTCGTGCAACATGAGCTATATGAGCTTTCCATGTTAAATTTTCATCCAAAATGACACCTAAGAAACACACCTCATTAACTCTAGTTATAGTTATTTGATTGATTTGTAAAGTAAGATCAAACGTTTGCTTTTTCTGCCTGGTTTTAAATATAACATAATTAGATTTGGGTATATTAATGGAAAGTTTATTGGCCCGAAACCAGTCTGAAAGCAGACGAAGTTCGGAGTTAATAATATTCGTCAAAGACGATATATTATCATGAGAATAAAACAAATTAGTATCATCGGCAAAAAGAAGAAAATCACCATGCTCAGTAACTTCACTAATATCATTAATATAAATAAGAAACAACAGAGGGCCAAGAATTGATCCTTGAGGTACCCCACATCGTACTTCTTTATACAAGGAGGAAACACCATTATATTCTACATATTGTAACCTATGGGATAAGTAACTTCGGAACCACTCAAGGACCACGCCTCGTATGCCATAATGCTCAAGTTTGGAAATTAATATTTCATGATCAACTGTGTCAAAAGCTTTAGATAAGTCAAGAAAAATACCAATATTGTGCTTATTAGCATCAATACCGGATGAGATTTTATCATAAAGATTTATAAGTGCGTGCGAAGTTGAGTAATTTTTCCTAAATCCATATTGGTTTTTAAATAAAATATTATTATCATTAATATACTTTAATAATCTATTGTAGACGACTTTTTCCATTACCTTAGAAAAGACTGGTAAGACCGAAACGGGTCTATAATTGGAAAACAAAAAATTATCACCAGTCTTAAATATCGGAACTATCCGAGCAATTTTCATTTGGTCTGGGACAATACCACTTATAATAGACGAATTCATAAGTTCGCACAATGGTTCTGAAATGAGATCAATAGAATTCTTAACTATCTTGATAGGAATGTTATCATAGCCTGGAGCTGCACCAGAACGAAATGAATTTACTATTTCAACAATTTCCTCTTTAGAAACTGAATTCAAAAATAGGGAATTTAAAAAATTTCCATTGAGATAAGAACAGGCAGTCCGTGAGGAATTAGGTATTTCTTTAGCCAAATTAAATCCAATATTAGTGAAATATTCGCAGAAGCGATTAGCAATAGCGGTTGGATCAGAAAAATCTTGATTATCACAAGAAAACATAGAAGGAAAGTTATTTCGAGATTTCTTTCTATTTGTCACCTCATTAAGTATCTGCCACGTTTGTTTGATGTTCGAGGTGGAATTTCTTAATTTATTTTCAAAATATAAACGTTTAGCTATCCGAATAGAGTGGTTGAGTTTATTTTTGTAATTTTTGTATATCGTATTATTTTCGCACGTAGGTTTCCGTAAATATTTCCTATAAAGATTATTTTTCTTTTTTATCGACTTTAAGAGTCCTTTGGTCATCCACGACTTACAAAGTTGATCTACTTTTTTGGTCTTTTTTTTCAAAGGGAAACATGAATTAAACACCCGAGAATATTCACGTAAAAATTCATTGTAAGAATTGTTTGGGTCGGTAGATCCACAGAATGTCATCCAGTTAACATTTGCTAATTCAATACGAAGTTTTTGCAAATTTTCGTTATTATATTCCCGGTAAACCGCATATGAATTTTCATTCGCTTTGTTAAACTCGTCTTGAATATACAATAAACTAAAAACAGGTAGATGATCGGATATATCAGTGAAAATCAAGCCACTAAACAAGCAATTATCCAGGTCGTTAGTAAATATGTTATCAATTAATGTGGCATTAAATGAAGTAATTCTAGTGGGTCGTGTTATTAAAGGAAAAAACATATTAGAGTACATAATATCTAGGAACTCATTAGTTAATTCATGATTTTTATAGTTCAATAAATTAATATTAAAATCACCCATTAGGTAACAAATTTTATTTTCTCTAGCAATTTTAGTGATTAAAGTATCGGTATTTTGAACGAAAGCATTAACATCACTAGCCAGGGGACGATAAACAACACCTATAACAATGTTTTTTCCCTTGGGTTTTAAAACTTCGATAAACAATGATTCGGCACATTCAATATCATCGTAACATAAATCACTTCGCAATTTGAAATACAAATGATCAGAAAAATATAATCCGACACCACCACCTGTTCTATTATGACGGGGGTTATGAATAAATCTATAACCAGGTATATCCATTAAAGTTTCTGAGTCTTTAAGCCAAGTTTCAGAAAGTCCAATAAAAGTAAAATTAATATTAATTTTTAACAAAAGATTTGAAAAATTATCAAAATTTCGTTGCAAACTCCTAATATTTAGGTGTAAGAACGATAAACTATTAGAAATACCTTGAGAACGCAATTTTGCACTAAACCCATCCTCAGTATAGTAATCACAGTTGTGAGCGCCTGAATAGTAATTGAAATCTGGATCCAAACCACTACCGATTGTAAACTGATCAATAGTCTTATTAAACGAAGTATTTAACGGATTAAAAATCAAATTTGAAAGTCTGTTTTCATCGTAACTAACAGGGCCATTCTGTAATTCATAAATCATATGATCAAATTCTTCATCATTAAGACTATAAAAGGGTAATACACGGCAGTAAGAATCGAAGTTAACTAATTATTTGACACACAACAGAAGTCACATAACTGGTGTAGGTAAATACTAATTCCTAGTGTCCAGTTTAAATTCGTCAAATTCTTTAATTGAGGAAAATGAATAAACTCTAGATTCCTGGCTATTATTTTTCCTTAAAAATACCTTTCCATTAGCTGTCCAAACAAATTTAAAGTTAAAGTCTCGCTTGAATGCTCTCACTGCTCGGAGCAGTGACCTACCCCTTTGTGTCAGGCTTTCATTTAAATAAATTTTGACTTCTTCATTCAAACCCAAATCAAGCGAGGATTTATTCCGTAGATTGCTTTTTTTACTCAGCATCGCATTACGAATATCTCGTCTTGAGAACTTGACAATTATTGGAGCAATGAACCCTTCTCTTGCCGATAGTCGGTGACTTATAGAAATATCCGACTCTTTAATGTTCACACCTAACAATTGTCCAATTGCAATAATAATTTCGTTTGTATTTTCCCCAGTCGAAATTGGGACTCCATGTATTTCAAGCCTATCTCTTCGAGTATATTCTCCGAGGCTTTCCAAATCGACGTCAAGTGTTGTAACATAACCCTCAAGGTTATCAATTCTCTTCTTAAACGACTCGTTTTGTGAACGTAACTCATGATTTTCAGCCTTCAAGATATCAACTGAATTAGCTAGCTCATCAAACTTAGAGCTAATGAATTCTTGACTGGCTTTAATATCATCCAAATCCGATTTAGTAGAAGTTGTAAACTTTTCGAACATTTCGTTAATTGATTTAGTCTGTTGTTGTAGGCGTCTATCAAGAAACGATTCAAGATCACTTCGTACTTCATCATTTTGATCACTTGTATGGGAATCTTCTGCAATAACATCAGATTTGTCTTCAATTCTTGAAGCAGTCTTCTCAGTAGCAATATTTCTCTTTTTTGGTGGCATATTTCTTATCAAAAGAATACAAATAATACAAATACAGCGGAGCAGAAAAGCACACGTCTGCTCGTCACGGCTCGCCGCGCTATACTATCAGTTTACCAACAGTCTTTCCTTATTAAGGACTAGCATATAGAATTTTGTTGAATGATTATGTGGATTTTAGTGTATTAATGAATTGTTTAGTTGTTGACTGTTGAGTCTATGGAAACTTGTTTTGATGGGACAGGGTATAATACTTATGGTACTGACTTATCATGGGTATACTAAACTTTGAATCCTGGTGGTACGTATCCTGTTGGATACTGAGAAAAAGTATAAATTTCAGACCCTACATGGTGTATCATACATGAAGTATATGCTGATCAAGTATTAGTAATTAAAACATTCTTAGCATCATGCAGTATGTGTCTATTTAGGTGTGACATGAAAAACAGGGACAATATGGTATATATGATATCTTAAAAATTTGATACGTTGTAATTAAAATAACAATATAACAAAGTCACTCAGTTCTACTGTACTATCCAAGGAATGTGGTCAAAACGACAACAGTTTGCCAGGTCCAAAAAATAATACTAGAAAATAAATAATACTCAAGACTAATATATAATATATATTTGCTGAAAACATAATTTTATCTTCTACCTGTGCACTGTAATAATATGCCAAGATTAGTGTCCCCAAAAAACTATACACTGTTTGATTTTCTGTAACGTAAAAACAATAAAGGCTATTGCACTGCAATAAATTTCATTGTATTCAGAAAGGGCCAACTTAGATTTTGATATATAACATTTAATATCTAATTGTGCAATATTGAATGTGCTATCGATATTTTTTAATGTTGAACGTCTAGCATTTTTGTTCATGTTTCGCTCGCTACTCTGGTTTAAATAAATGATTACAAAGCCCAGTCGAATTGTAATCAAGACCCAACGTCATATGAGCTGATATACGGCGAGTAATTCAACCAATCAGATTGCAGAACAGCTCATATACGGTGGATGACTATATTATAAATATATATTCACCAGAACAAGAATATTTTGCAAGTAGGCTAAACTAATAATGGGTAATTTGATATAAGTTATTTCACACATAAAATGGTAGTTTAACTTTAAAACATCTATAGCACAAATTAAATGTTTCTTTATAATTATATATCAGAATCTAAGTTAGCCTTTTCCAAATACAACAAAGTTTTATTTCAGTGCAATTTATAGCTTTTATAAGTTTTTACTTTACAACAAATCAAACAGTGTATAGTTTTTTGGGGACACCCGGTATATGTATACCGATTACAGACAGTATATTTAAATAATAAATTCATAGGCGTACGAGACAGGGGGGCAACTGCCCCCCTCCGAAATTTTGGAAAACCATGGAAATTTAGGCAAATGCTAGGAAAAATCAAGAAAATTTGGGCAGATTAATAAAAAAATAGATTAATTTCAAGTAATTTCATTACAATCCTCCATAAAGTTCGGGCAAACTTTCAACTGCCCCCCGGAGAGCATCAGCCCCTCACGGCTGTGATATAATTATTACAAAATTGTATAGCATCCTCTATTACAAAATTAATCTTCAAATCTATTAAATATGTATAATTACAGTATGTTATAAACAAAGGACACCCGTTTATGTAATAAATTAACATAGAAGCTGGTAGAAAGAAAGAAAGAAAGCTGAATGTTATGGTACGCAGGTTTTGCCGAATGTTAATTACGATTGACGAATGTTGTCAGTTGATAATAGACGCTTTTAGTTAACAAGACGCGGACACAGAATAGGAAGTTATACCAGAAGCGTAACTCTAGTCGTTTCCCTTATTGTTTGACGTCCACGAAAATTTTTAACTCGCTCACATCAGGCCACGCCATCCTGGCTAGTACAGCCGGTACAAAGTGCCGGTTGTACTAGCCAGGATGGCGTGATTGATGACGAATCGCTTGTAAAAACGCGGACAAATATTTGCTTGAGTTACGCTTCTGGTATAACTTCCTATTCTGTGACGCGGACGTCAAGAGGACGTGAAAATGACGTATGCACCTCGCGTTCACTTCCAGGTTTTAATCTGGGACGGCTTGTTTGTCTTTTTCGAAGCAAATTTTCTTGTTACCTGTTCATTCCTGTATTGTTTTCAATCAGTTGTCAAGATATGTGCAAGAAAAGGCTATATAATACTGGGCAAGTGTTTCCTGATGAATTAGTATGGACATTCAATAAGTTTTTTTTAGAAAAAAAGTTATTTTTTTGATTTTGAAAAGTGAACTTTGTTGCATCATTTGGAATAAATACAACAGCTGCAGGTATTGTTTACGAGCTAATTGTAGCCTATTCAATCAAGTTTGTCAACTGTTCAGTATAAATATGGCATCAGTGTTTATATTGGTAAAATTTAATACTGTTTACGATAGTTTTTCATGCTGGAAAGCGTTTTTTTTGCTTGTCCTACTTTTTGCACTGTTGTGACAAAGCAACTAAAATTGATTGAGTTTTTACTGCTTTTAAGTGCTTTTATTTTTCTATTTTCCCACGTTTTCCTGATTTTAAATAGTTGTTAATATAACTTCAGTTTAGTTTGTTCTAAAATATTTGTTTTGGTGAAGATTACTAGCGGTATTGAAGTGGTTATTAACAATGCTTGCAGTTTTGTTGATTTGTTTTATGGCGACCGAAAGTATTTGTCGAAAATCAACTCGTCTAAAATTTAGCGAAATACAAAAAAAAAACAATCTTGTCAATGGAAAAACTTTAGCTAGTATCATTAAACAATACATGGGGAACAAAATAGGATGATTTTTATTATGCATAGTCTCATATTTTTTTCAAAAGAAGCAAAAATCTGTGACGTTCTAGAGAGGACGTGAAAATTGTATTTTCGCGTCGTGAAATCACAGAATAAAGACATACAGAAGTGTATCTTCTTATTAAAAGTGCGTAAAGCCTGGTTTCCATTAAATCATAATTATCGCAAAAACCGCATCGCAAGCGTCGCAACGATTTAAAAAACGCGGAAATTTTAATAAAAACTGCGATTTATTGGAAACTTGAGTCACACCGATCACTAAGACTCTTACGACAAAGTCGCAAAGATAGACTTATTGCGATTTTTGCGATAGCGATGTCTGCGTTCCGCGACTATTGCGATGATTACGATTTAATGGAAACCAGGCTTAAGGGATTTTTTCAGTCCGCCATGTTCTTAGCAAGTGCCCTAAAGGGAGGCAGTCACCCCCTGAAAACATATTGAAAATTTAATATTCCAGGGGGGTAAATGCTTCTCTTTAGGGCACTTGCTAAGAACATGGCCGCCAGCTATTTCGGTGAAAGCGCCTTACGGTTTTGTAATGGAAGTTACACTTCTGTATGTCTTTATTCTGTGGTGAAATCGTCCAAGACGACGTCGCAAACTAGAAGCTGACGATAGTTGGCGCCAAATGACGACATCCACGTCCTCTTGACGGCCGCGTCTTGTTATCTAAAACCGTCTAATGTCGCCAGATGACGTTGACAGCGTATTTTTTAAATATCACAGCGTGTAAATGTACCTTTATAGAATAAAAGGAGAAAAGAACAATAGAAGGAAGGATAAGAGTTGCAGAAGGCCTGAATTGTTATTTAATTCAGTATACTTTTATTTTTTGATTAAAGAATTGGCCAATTCTAAAAAGTCGAAACATGTATAATTCTTGAAATTAACATAATTATTCACTCCAACAAACCATTGATCCCAGTAGTATAGCATACATTCACTACCGTAATAAAAAATATTTGTTGTCACATCATTAGTGACAATGACCAAAATGAATAAACAATGGTTTAACATATTTCATGTATTTGAAAACCAGGAAATACAGCAATAAGAACTTTTTTATTTCTGCTGTATTTCTGTAACATTGACCTGATTAAGGAAGCGGACATGATTTCAAGGGTACATGTATTTTTCATGCTATTCTTTTTATTTCCTCTTCACATTCAAACAAAGGCCTAATTTTAAAAAAACAGAACTAATTTGTTACCGCTACGGTATATTTTCATACTTTGTCAGAATGGCCACCACCTTCAATTTCATTTTGAAGTACTGTATACCCTCTAGCAATTTCCACTAAGCACCATTATCAAATAAGCCCCTATCCCTTTAAGGCCCTAGCTTCCCTCCCCTCCATACTTAGATGAAGAAATTTGTTAACCCCCTCCCCCCAATTAGCCGTTATCATATCATTTTATGGATTAATAAATAGGCCCCTGTCTCTTTTAAGCCCCTCCACCCTCTAATAAGCCCCCTCCCTCAAGATGGGTGAAAAAATAAGCATGGTTGGCCGTAATAGAGTAAATTTATATGTTTAGAGCCAACAGAAGAAAGTCCTTCCACAACATTCCCTAAAGTGGTGAGTTGGAAATTATATTTACTTTTCTTGTGTCTATAGCTTAGGCATGCATTTTCAGTACTTTCAGTAAGTCATATTAGTTCAGCCTGTCCTGTATGTCCTGTTTGGACAGGTTCATTACTTTATTATCCATTCAGCGAGTAAAACATAGATAAGAATTGGGAAATAATTTAATACACTAGGTCTTATACATTGTGAATCTGTCAATGAGAATTTGTCGGATTAACTAGAAATGCAACTGGAAAGTGTGAAAAAGTTTATAATAATTTATGTACTGTATTGTTTACATGCAGAACACAACACGAAAGAAGAAGTGTCCTACTTGTAACCACGTTGTTGGAAATGCTTGCAAGCTGTGTCCCCATTGCAACACAAAAATTGAATGTGGTAGAAAAAAACCGAGAGTATCATCAACATCTCTAACGAACCCCTCAAACCAATGGGATCTGCTGAAAAAAAGGGTATTATACTATGATTATATGCAATAGTTTTACAAACTGGTTTACACTATTGGGACGCGTGTCTATATAATGAGTGTATGTTGTTACATTGTGTTATTGTGTACATTTTTTGACGAGGGATGACAGTAGCCCAAAAAATTGCGGATATTGGTGTAGGAAATGCTTAATTGGCTGCCGAGAATATCTCCGCATAAATCACATAAAAACTAGTCACCGATCTCTGCTGACGCGATCGCTTAATCGCTGAATAGCGGCGGGCCGGAATCCCAATAGTGCGAATTCAAATCCCGTTCAGGTGAATAATCTTTCTTGACTTTTGCAGTGTAAGAAATCATTAAAATTTTCTTATCTTGTTCCGGACCAAGTTGTCCTCAGTCTGCCATTAAGCCAATATATCAGGATGTGTTTACTCTACCTTTCCCCAGTTCTTGTTACGAGGTTGACAAGTCATATTTTTACAACAACTTCGTATTTTGAATTACATTTTGAAATAGAATAATTTCTGCTTATACAGGTTGACATATTACATGAAAGTCATCGATGTGATATTGTGATCTTATATCATAAGAAGCATGCTAGAGGCCATACCTGGGGTTCATATGGTACACCAGGATTGGTTGAAGAGCTGCTCGGTGAAGAGTCAAAAACGGGTTCCAGCCTGAAAAATATTTTCCGACTTGGAATCTTAAACCAAATGGCACAGTCAAATACAAACACTGACAGTGACTCTAACCGCGACACTAACACCACTACTAGCACCCACACAACAACTAACAGTAGCACTATCACAACCACTAACCCTAACAGCAGCACAACCACTAATCCTAACAGTAGCACCAGCACTAACCCTAACAGTAGCACAGCCAATAACACCAGCACTAGCACAACCACTAACCCTAACAGTAGCACAACCACTAATCCTAACAGTAGCACAACCGCTAACCCTAACAGTAGCACAGCCAATAACACCAGCACTAACACAACCACTAACTCTAACCGCAGCACAACCACTAACCCTAACAGTAGCACAGCCAATAACACCAGCACTAACACAACCATTAATCCTAACCGCAGCACAACCACTAACCCTAACAGTAGCAGAGCCAATAACACCAGCACTAACACAACCATTAATCCTAACCGCAGCACAACCACTAACCCTAACAGTAGCACAGCCAATAACACCAGCACTAACACAACCACTATGTTTTTATGGTATCCGGTTATGGATTTGGCCAGAGCCCCTCGTCGTGCTCCGTTGACCGCGCGTAAGAAGGGCTCTGGGTACGAGAATGTGTGAAATTAACGAAATGATGAAAGCACTGGGACCGATCTGCTTCAAGGTATCTGAAATAGCCTTGACCTATTTTTTATAACAGTTTGTGATTTTGAAGTTACAATATTCGCTCGATATTTCGAGCCAATGAAGCTTTATTAACCGTGAATAAGCGAAGATAAAACATCAGGGATGATTGAGTAATCTCCAGGTAAGAATCTTGTCATGTTTTATGTATAATAGAGCAATTTGGAAAGGAAATATTTGCTTTTTTCATTCGTGAATTTTGAGAATGCACGTGTTTGATGACCTTTGATGTTTCGGCTTAAAATTTGAATTTGCCACGACAATTTCGAAGTATAAGTTACAATATTTCGCTCGATATTTCGAGCCGATGAAGCCTTAATAAGCGAAGATGAAACATCAGGATGACTGAGTAATATCCAGCTAAGAATCTTGTTATGTTTTGTGTATAATAGAGCAATTTTGAAGGGAAATATTTTCTACTTCAATCTTCATTCGTGAATTTTGAGAATGCATGTGCTTGATGTTTCGGCTTAAAATTTGAATTTGCCACGACAATATTTAAAATGATGATATAAAACAATAGTTTAATTCAAAGCTTACATTTGACTCAGTCTTTATATTAAATTATGTTTATTGTAACTAATGCCAAATAGTTAATAGTTGTGTATATGATAGATTCCAGTGAGCAGTGCTGCAGTGGTAGTGTTTCTTGTATCAAAATTAAATAATATATTATAGCTTGGCATCTACTCAAGTTTCAATCCTCAATTCTTTATATGCTTATAAATACCTAGGCATATCCCAGCTAAATGTGCATGTCTCAGTTACAATAGTCATAGAATAAAAGTTATTCTGAATAAGGAGTGCATTATATATATATAATATAAATACAGTAATTAACACACAATTTATAAAAACTGTATGTTTTGAATCAAATATGATTCACCTTCACCAGTGTTTCACAAAATATGTTGTTATATTTGCAAGACATGTCATTATATTATATTCTACTTATATCTATCTAGTATATTTGCTGAAATTATCAGCCGGAAAAGGAATGTCTCATGCACTTTACCATTATAGCACTTATATGCCCTATACTTTAATTTTTTTTTCACCCTCAGTCTAACACCAGGTGTTGGTTGCATCAAAACTGGATTCTTTCAGTGCTGTTTGATTTTACCATGTCTAACATCATAGGGTAATAGTACAATGCACTAGGATATCAATGGAATGGGTATAGAGGTTTAATTTCAATTTCCTTTGTATGCCATGCTTGAATTTTTTAATGCCGGGTGGGTCGGTTAATAGGTAAAAATGTCAATTTGATCAATTTGTTGTGTGGCAACTTGATTATGGAAGTGCTCTAACTGGAAACAGTCAAAGTCCTTTGTTTGCTTGTTCAAAGTTTATAATATATGAATACATTTATCTATACCACCTGTATGATCTGCTTAATAATATATGTAACAACCTTTGGGCTACATTTTATACATCTTTAGAGACACCCCGGCAAGTCACAACAAGGGTGAACTGATGTTGTTTTTTTTAATAAAATTACCCATTTCACTGCAAAGTGCCCAATTTTCAGCAGTTTGTTAATATTTAAATGTTTCTGTATCTTGCCTAATGTTGGACAATTTTATTTGCCAAGGAAAGTGTCCAGCTAGACTCATGATGTTTCATGTTGACATATTTAGATGTAATTTTCCTTAACACTCCCTACTTTAAGTTCTGCACACAATATTTAACTCTGAGGTCTCAAGCTAGACAATTTTGCTTATTGACTGTGGTCTGCTTGCCCATTTTTCACCTTTTAATACTGACAATTAAGCTGGCATGTATTGGCAATAACTGCTTGATCTGCAAGATGCTTGGTGGCATGGGTCTAACTGCTAGTAGACTACTAGACTGCTCACCCTGCAATTGATTTGAAACCCAATCGTGTAATAGATTCCTTACAGTTACTCAAACGTTGGTAACTCTGACTGTGGTAAACAATGCCATTGATTTGACACTGCTTAAACTGCCACATTCACCCCTGCCAGCCTTAAACTGCCACAACCTAGCGTTGACAGCTAATAAGAATACAAACTGTTTTATGTGTATTATTTTATACAATTTTAAACGATACTGTAATATACCTGTCAACCATGGTGCTGTATTGCTAGTTTTCAGCTAATTTGATATTATTTCATGCATTACTATTTTTTAACTGGTTTTAATTATCATACTACCATTTTATTACTTTATAAAGTAACTATGTTGCAGTGCTACTATTTTTATATAGCTATTTTATTGTTATTTTATAACTATTTTATTGCTACATTCTGACTATTTTATTGCTATTTTATGACTATTTTACTATTCTTTTATTGCTATTTTATAACTATTTTATTACTACTTTCTGACTATTTTATTACTATTTTTATACTATTTTATAAGAATTTTGAACTATTTTGAACTATTTTGTTCGCTATTTTATCACTATTTTAAATTCTACTATTTTAGTACTATTTTATCAGTATTTTATTCATATTTTAAAACTATTTTATTACTATTTTTGCAGTAATTTTATTACTACTTTTAGTTAATATACTGCAGTTGATCCACTATTTTATATGTATTTTCGACTATTTTTAACCTATTTTATGTATATTTAAAATCTATTTTATTACGAATGTTTCACTTTACTTTATTATTTTATTTCTATTTTGCACTCTATTTTAAATATATTTTATCCTATTTTAAACCTATTTTAATCTGTGCTTCACCGATTCAGAAAAATAAAATCTATTTAAAATAGGCTATTTTTTGTTTCAAAAAAACCTATTTATAATAGCTATAATATACAATTAAAACAGAGTTCTAATAGGTTTAATGTAGGATTTGTATATGTGATAGCAATACGATAGGGTTAAAAATAAAATAGCTTTTCTATAGGAATAAAATAGAAAGTAAAATAGGGATAAAATAGGGTTAAAATAGTGTTGATTTTCGTAAGGGTAGAGTTTGAAACATCTCTGGTCATCACCTTTAGCTGTTGTCTGGTAGCTTCCTCGGTGCGGGCGATTTCTCTTGCTTTTATAAGAGTTAGTTCATTCCCTTCAGCAATACATTTCTTACGGACTGTATCTGAATCAACTCCAAATACCAAAGCATCTTGCATCAATTCGTCATGTATTTCATCCGGATAACCACTGTTCTGAATAAGGAGGTTTCCTTCGGTTAAAAACTCGTCGAGCGGTCGGTTGTTCTGCTTCAAGTTTCTGAGATAGAAACGGTTGACAAGATGGTTGGACTGAGGTTTTACGTGCTGTTCAAATCTTTTCCAATACTCGTCTAATTTGTCTTGATCGGCTTCACTCAAATTCCATGTATTATAGAGATCAAGACCATAATCTCCCACCCATAGGAGAACATATCGACATTTCTGCTTAACAGTTCGATCTTTCAAAGGGCCATCAAACAGTAATTCACATTTCTGCCGAAATCGCTTGAGCCGTTGTGGCAGATCTGGTCCGGGTGTCCAATCGATTCTTCGGCGCGGTTCAAAGCCAGCTATAGATCACTCATTTTTGTTAACAAGTAACCAAGTACTTATTGTGTTGGGTTTTTAGACCTTCTAGTCATCAATCCCACACCTGACACCATGTAAACTTGCACGTTTTATTTGAAACTAGCTTTATTGAAAATATGTTACAATATGGCGGCTATGGCACAGAATAGAAAATAGACCAGAAGCCTCACTCAGCCAAAATTGTGTCCGTGATTTTTTATGCGCAAGCGCGAGCCAGCAAGTGTAATCACGACGCCATCAAACGCGAGCAACGCCATCAATTACTATCACTAGGTAATAAAGATTGCTGTTTTAACCGTTTTTAAATGCCACAGGTCCAAATAATGGGTCATCGCAACAGGAAGCCACAACGTAAAAAACAAAATCGTAAAATATTTGCACAAAAATTGCAGAATATACAGCGTACACTTTGAGCATGTTTTTCGAATTTCAAGAAAAACCGTTGATTTGAGGAATTGACGCTGACGCGATGTTCGCAGCAAGTGTCACACACGTCATCTAGCGTGCGCAATTCGTGATCCGCAAGGCGAAAATCGCGGACACGAAAATGTTAAGCCGAAAGGTGTATAGTGAGGCTTCTGGGGCCGGTTGTACAAAAGGTGGATAAGTTATCCAGTGGATAAGTCCTATCCAATGGATAAATCTCCTATCCAATGGATAGCTATCTGCCGAATAAAAATGCGTTGTACGAAGCACGGATAGCAGTGTGGATAGCTATCCGTCGGATAACCTTAATTTTAACCGGAGAAAACCGGATTTTCGTGAAATTTCTTATCTCTACGCCAGCTGTTGCTAGGTACATGTATTTGTAAACTTTTTGTTGTAGAATCTTCGTATAACTTGTGAATTCCACTAACCTTTGAACTATCAACTTGCAATAAAGGTTTTTTGTTCATGTTTATATTTTGGAGTTTTTCTCTTCCAATCGTTGCAATACTTCGTTTTCCCACAGTGAAGAGTTTGCTATCTACTTATCGATATTTCTTTAAAAGATTTTTGCCTTCTTTATGCGAAGGCAATAGCAAAGACTGCGAGTTTTGTTTTCTTGTTTCATTATTTTCATACTGTCCGAATATTTGTTCTTTGACCTTTCACGTCATTCAAAACAATTTTAAGAACATTTTCTCGCAAGATTTGATTGGCTGATCAAGGTCAGCGAACAAAATTTTTCTACTTTCGGTGCCTTGTTGTCTATTTATATGCCGCTATATTTGTTTGGCGTTGAAGGGAACTCATTTAATGAAAGTTTTATCGCTTGTTTTCCAGCTATATAACAGAAAAAAAGAAGGAAAAAAGCCAGAAAACGTAACGTCTAAGCACTGACACAGGTCTGCATAAAATATGGCAAAGTCATGGCATTATTTAATGGGCAAGTGACTCAAAGTGAGCTCGGTACGTCAAGAGCAAGAGAAGTCATATTAAGTAAGTTTCCATGTTTATTTTATAGTGTCAAGAAAGGGACTTCTAAACGGTATTTGTCCATTTCTATCACAATAGCAATCCTTATTAATGAAATACACATTGTTTTGTCTTTAATTAAACTTCGAGTTTATCCCCCGGATAGTAGATTTAAACTACCTCGGGATAGCGATTTATCCACCGGATAGCGATTTATCCACCTTTCGTACAACCGGCCCCTGGTCTATTATATATTCTATGGCTATGGTGAGTACGCGTGTTTATATAACAGTAGGAGACTGGATCTAGTATTACGTACAGGAAGTTAATATAACCGGAAGTGTGACATCAGGTTAATGTTTTTAAAACGAAAATTATCCAGATTGCTCTGAAATATATGTGCATTTGCGTTCGTTCTAAGTTGTCCATGGCCAATGGGGAATAGTCCGCTGTCTCCGATCTTGGTTAGTTGTTGTTAATGCTTTCCCAACAACACTATCATGTATTCTATTTAAATATAAGTTAAAACATATAGTTGGAATATTCTTCAAACCTTTATTTTGTTAATCTAGAGCATGTAATGTCCCCCCCCCCCCTGGCCCTGTAACAATTCATGACTATATACCAACTATTATCAACCCTCGTTCTTCAGTTTGACAGGGGCGGGGGCCTTTTGAAACTACATGTTTTTGTGCGTTTCGTAATATATTAAAAGCTTTTGAGTGAATTTGCTTTTATAGTGCAGTTTAATATGGATCAGTTTAATTAAAACAAAAAATATGACAGCTTGGAAATATAACTAATTAAATCCAAATTAATCCGCACTATAAAAGCAAATTCACTCTACAAAAGCTTTTAACATATTACAAAAACATGTATTTTCAAAAGGCTTTGGCCCCTGTCAAACTGAAGAACGAGGGTTGATAATAGTTGGTATATAGTCATGAATTGTTACAGGGCCAGGGGGGGGGGTGGCATTACAAGCTCTAGATTAACAAAATAAAGGTTTGAAGAATATTCCAACTATATGTTCTAACTTATACTTAAATAGAATACATGATAGTGTTGTTGGGAAAGCATTAACAACAACTAACCAAGATCAGAGATAGTGGACTATTCCCCATTGACCATGGACAACTTAGAACGAACGCAAATGCACATATTTCAGAGCAATCTGGATAATTTTCGTTTTAAAAACATTAACCTGACATCTTGTATATATGGAGGAGCAATCAACAAGTAAAAGTTCCCGAAGTGTATTTTGCCAAAATTCACCTTGGTTTTTGGCGTAGGTAAGTACAATCAGTGACAAAAGGTTTTTGGACAGTGGTATAATATATACATATCTCCGCATTTCCAAATACTGTTCAGCATAAAGCCACTATCCCTCCCTCCCCCACCCTAAACAATGTTGGGTGGCTGGCAAGGAACATTTTGCGCAGATATATCCACACACAACATTGAACGGGGGGTGCGGGGGGTCGATTATGTTGTAAACGTACGCTGTTTAGCTATTTTGTCCAAAGTGTTTTGTCACTGATTGTCCGAAACGGTATTTTAAGCCAAATTAAAATTTCAGTTATTGAAGCTAGAATTACTTGTATTTTATAGTATTACCAATGGTGTTCACAAATATAATAGATAGCGTGTTTTGGTTAGCGTAAACATGGTTAATTTGCGCATGAATTGTATGTTATTATTCTAGTTTAATCATAATGCGTTCATGCATGTTTCCAGAACCAGTCCAACATTGGGAATTTCGTAGTTTGGAACTGCAAGCGAAACTAGTAGAGCAATCTGGAATTTAGGGCAGGTAAACACGTTCGGAAGCAAATGCAATTGTCTTTCAGTGCTTATTACGTTACTTTTGTGGAGAATGTAACGTCATCGGTAACATCCGGATTAATCTCAAAGCTGTAGTATTATAAAGCGCACAGTATGCATGCTATAAATAAGAGCTAGTTATATAGAAACAAAGTAATAATGACATATAAAAAAACTATTTCAGATACAACGCGAGCGTATGTGCTATTTCTTGGTAAAGAGAAACGATATTCCTGCAGAGCGATTGCTAAAAAAGCAAGAATATCTAAAGCGTCAGTCTCTCTTATTCTGAGAGGAAAAGTTCAGCGCAAGCAAGATTTGAAAACATGCAAGAAAATTGGTAGACCAAAGAAGCTGTCAGATAGAGATCGGAGAAAATTAATAAGAACAATAAAAACTCTGCGTGATAAAGACCCAAATTTTACTGTTAACTGTGACTGCTGTCACGTGATATTTCGTATCGGACATTTTATCGTGAGGTGAAAGCAGCTGGATTTGATTATCTACCTGCGCGTAAAAAGGGGGTTTTAACAAGCCGTGATCGCACGAAAAGAAAGTCGTTTGCGCAACAATGCAAGAAGATCCTTTCTACAAAGCCCGGATTCTTCTCGCGAAATATTGTCTTCTATTTAGACGGGATTTCTTTTGTTTATAAGACACAGCCTCTTAGTGACGCTTTAGCTCCTAAAGGGCGTGTATGGAGAAGAAAGAGCGAGGGTTTACAATTGACGGTAAAAGGATCTAAAACCCTTGCGGGTGGAAAACGGCTTCACTTACTGGTCGCAATTTCTCACAACAATGGGGTTGTATTGGTAGAAGAATATGAGAAAATGACCGGTACCTATTTCGCTGAGTTCGTAAAAAAAAAAAAAAATTCCAGCACTACTATCGCGCAAGCGTGGAAGAAAATGGTTCATAATGGACAACGACCCGTCTCAGCGAAGCCTAGCAGCTAAGACAGCTATAAAGGAAGAGGGATGTGAGTTATTTTGTATCCCAGCGAGATCTCCAGACTTAAATCCAATAGAAAACTTGTTTCACATAGTTAAGAAGCAGCTTGATGCTCAAGTTAGAGACTCGCAGATTGTGCGTGAGACATGGGAACAATTTAAGACTAGAGTTATAAAAACTTTATATAATGTTTCTGTAGATTATGTAAATAATATTATCACAAGCATGCCTAAGCGAATACACGCGGTATTGCAGGTTGACGGCTTTAGAACAAAATACTGACAAAGTTACTATGACAACGGATTGTATATCGTATTTCCGTATCAACGAATCCCACACATGTTCGCGTAATAATTTCCATATTTTCTCACATGTATATGATCGTTGTTGGGAATTTAAACACATAGTTGCGTGCGTAAGGAATACATTAATACTTTGGCTTCAAATACGCGTGCGTTTCGTTATAAAAGACAGAGAAAATGGGTTAAAAGTCGACGAATCCCACTTTTCTATTTACTAATTATGATGTCATATTTCAACTTACTATAAATAGTGGGAATCGTTCGACGAAAGTCGGAATTTCATGGAATCAAATTGATTTCGCTCGAAGTTAACCGCATAATTAATTCCTTTGACATATTTACAATAAGCTAAGAGAGAAAAACAGCAAGAATTGTTGAACTTAATTCCCTTTTCTACATAAAATGTGACTGGGATTCGTGTGGGATTCGTTGATGCGTCATAAGCCACTTAGTTAGGGATGACCAGAATACATATTTGTTAACACCTTAATGTAGCCTACGTTAAATTAAAATACATCATAGATCACTGTTCGGTGTATAATATTAACTCAGCAAAGCATCGAGCGCAATGTTTCTTTGTTCATCACGCGGAATTTGTC